CAGAAACTATATTCTTTGTCAAATCCTCTGGCTCCAGCTACCCAATAAAAATGAATTATGTCACCATTACAAGAGATGCCTATAGTTTTTGTTATCATCTTCCAACATTAAAGCTTCCTGCTGTAATTCCCAGCCAAGTCCATTAACTTTGTTTAGGTGAATGATTGTAGAACATTTTAATTTTATGAGAAGAATGTAGAATAACACTCCCTGCACTACTCAGAACTTGAGGTAGATGATAAAGGTGAGAGAGAGAGAGAGAGAGAGGGATATGAGTTAGAAAGATTAGCATTTATAAGAGGATAGAGAAAGAATATGGTTGTCATGAGAGTCGTTGGGTGGAGAACTCAGCCAGAGACTTGAAAAGTTAGGAAAGTTGGATTGTTGGTTGGTAATGTTGCAGTTTGGTTGTTTCTTTTGTGAGTGGTATTTAAATTATTTTGTCATGTTGAATTGATAGGGGAGTAGTGGCATGATACCTTGTTAGAAGTTTTCTAAACCCTTATATTGACCTAAAAAATGTCTGATATAAATGATGAGAAATTTGACAAATGAGCAAGGTGTTTTTTATTTTTTTATTATTATTTTTATTTCATAACAAACAAGGGATTCCATGCAAACACACAGCTTGATTATTATTAAGTTCGTTATTGATGAAAAATAAAGATTGGGCTTGTCAATAATTGCTTTAGTATTGCCAATGATAGGCATTTTATTATCATTTTGGTAGGAAATTTGCCAGTTAGAGTGTTAGACTTAGGTTTATTACTCAATTTGCTTACAAATCTTGAGTGCTGAGCATTTGATAGCAATTCCGTTGCGGGAAAGTAGACTCCAGACAGCAGATGAAAAGGTATAGAGGGGCTTCTTGTTTTTGCCATGGGCATTTAGGACATTGCACTCCCTTTGCTGTGTCCTTTCTTGAGTTGCATAGCAAATGGATATTATGAAATACTGGAGGATTTGGCCTTCACAGTAATGTCTGAAAGATTCAGTACACTGATAATGCCAAGAAATGGACCATTATATGTCCATGTTTAAAAATCTAGAAAGGAAGCATGTTTTACTTTCATCACTATAAAAGGCAGTACATTTTGTGGTGACTATTCCATGTCCTTGAATTTACTGAAGTTTACTTCTGACCCAGTATATACCAATCTTGCTGTAAACCATTATTTAACCTTTTTAGCTTTTCCTTTGAGTTATAATTTTTCACTTTGAATGTGTGTGTGTGTGTGGGTTTTTTTTTTTTTGGGGGTATTGATCAAGGGCTTCAGTAGAAACATACTGTAAAAGATATTCTGGATCTAGAGAAGGATGATCAGTTTTTTTTTTTTTTTCTTTGCTGACTCATGAGTTATGATTAATATAAATATGGAAGACAAAATCTGCTATCTTTTTTCCAGGAAAAGTTAAAAGTAGATTTTCTTTACTATTCTACATTGAAATTTTATCCTCTAGCAATTCTATGGGATCTTTGTTCTTTTTTCGAATGGCCTTCTGTGGGATCTTTTTACAGATCACATATTTTGTGTTTAACCATTTGAAGTGTCAGGACAGACATTTAGCTATGGCTATGGCATTGGCAGCACAAGTCCGTGAATGGATAGAATTCCCTCCTGCCACACAATCAAAATTGCTTGAACTGATAGGAAAGCTTGACCAAGAGGTCCCACATGTTGACCTAATTCTCATTATACATGAGTCTGTAGAGTTAGCTAAAACTTAAATGTGCAATGTTGTGGCTATCAGCCATGCATGACATCATCTTTTTTCTTGGTACATGTGTTTCAATTTAAAGTGTGTAATTTTTAAAGTATTGAGATATATTGATACAGAATGTCAGCAAGTTGACAATACTAGTGATGGGGAAAGGTGGTGTTGGGAAATCATCAACTGTAAACTCAATTATAGGGGAAAAAGTAGTGGCTGTGAGTACTTTTCAGGTATTAGTGGCTTCACTTTGTCCTGGTTAAGCCAGCATTTATGTGGTGAAATATTTTGTATGACTTGTATTATGCTGTTCTACTAGTCAGAAGGTCCAAGACCTGTGATGGTGTAACGCACAAGGTCAGGATTTACATTGAATGTCATCGACACACCTGGGTTGGTAGAAGGAGGTTATATCAATACGCATGCACTTGAGATTATAAAATGGTATGCAGCAGCTAGAGAGGTAGAAGCTTCAAGCACTTGCAGATTTTTATTTTTATTTCTTTCTGGCACTTGTTCGAGAAGTTAGCTTCAATCCACTTTCAATTCTCATTTTTCTTTGGGGGCTGGATTTTAAGTGCATGAGCAGTTTCCTTTTAAAGAAGACCATAGATGTTCTACTGTATGTCGACCGTCTGGATGCATATCAGGTCGATAATTTGGATAGGCTGGTTGTCAAAGCTATTACGGATAGCTTCGGTAAGGAAATATGGAAGAGAGCTTTAGTTGTCCTCAGCCATTCTCAGCTTTCCCCTCCAGATGGATTGAACTATTATATTTTCTTCTCCAAAAGGTCAGAGGCTGTTTTAGAAGTTATTACTCAGGGTGCCCAGCTGAAGAAAGGTGATCTGCAGGTGTGTGGCTTGTCTTTCTTACTTTTGATTGCTAAGTATATGATTTTTATAGTTGGTAAGGATGCTAGCTGTAAACTAGGTTAGTTTCCAATTCTTCGTCAAAATATGTGATGCCAGGCAGATGTTGCCATTCCCATTGATAAATTACTCGATGCTCTTCCATGAGCTTTAAATGCTGCAGAGAGATTATTTTACTCTCAGCCTAGGACATTAGGAAAAGGTAGAGCTAAACCCATGTTGCTCAAACTCACGAGTGAAATTCTACTGAACCAAATTAACAGATCAAACTGAGAAGCATTTGATTTGGTTGGTATGCAAATGTTAAAATGATGTCATTTAATACTAACCTTTCTTTTTATCAAAGAAAAAGAAGAATAAAAGGTTTATTTATTTTTTCCTTTTAAAAGATTGAAAACCATCTATAATAACTATCGGTGGTTCTGGTTTGGCAATGGAAAGTATTTTGGTCAGTTTGAAAATTCCTGAAAATTAATTCTGTTAAGACTGGTTTTAGCCGTTCAGTCAAGTCTAGAACTTAAACCATACCAAAGGCTCACCATTATAGGTATGGGTTTGGCTGTTGTTAGGGATATTCTTCTTAGAGTCTTCTTATTCAGTGCCTTTTAGTTAATGATGACGAAAAGGGGGTATGGACTAAGATTCAAGATGATGATTATTGACAGGTTTTCTGCAGATTAGTTGAGCAACCTCTCCATAGGTATTGGACAGTTTAAGTGACTAGTTTGATGAGCTAATATTACCAGTTCCGAACTTGGGATCAGTTGCGTTGAGAATGCTTATTCTCAAAGTATATTTTGAATAAAGCCAAAGAAACTATCTTTTAATTGTTAAACTTTCAATAGCATGAAGACCTTCATCGTTTGAAGTTACTGTGCATTTTTATTCTATATTATAAGCATTTTTTAAAATTTCTTGAACTCCATTAATGTAGACTCCTTAAAAGTGCAAATTTGAAATGTTCTCAACGTGAAAATGGAAAGGTTAAAATATCAGAGTGTACATTAAATTGTTTTAAGAATGATTATTAATTGTCTTGTAAACTATGTCAGCTCTATCATTACTGTTCTTTTAATAGTGCCCTTGCTTTTTCTCAGGGACTTGGTATACCTGTTGTGTTGGTTGAAAACAGTGGAAGATGCAATAAGAATGAAGGTGATGAAAAGGTCTGCCATTTGCAGTCATGTTGCTGCTAGCTGTTATCTTTTAGCATACTTAATGCCATTGTTGTCATTCGAGGGGTGCTAGTGATACTCTTTCTGACACTCTCCTTACAGTTGGGCAATGTGGCACATAAATTTCTATGATTGGTCATAATTGAATTTTAAATATGTCAACTTTTAACTTCTACCACTAGTCACTAACCACATGAAATTTATGTGACCCATGTGCAAATTATTAGGAGAGTGTCCCTGCTAGTTGTCACTTTTGGCATTGTTATTACAATAGTTTTTGACAACAGATCCTTCCAAATGGAGTTGCTTGGATTCCAATTTTAGTTAGCACCATTACAGAAGTTGTGTTGAATGGAAGCAAAGCTATCCATGTTAACAAGAAGATGGTTGAAGGACCAAACTCCAATGAGAAAGGAAAGATCTTAATTCCTTTAATCGCACTACTTCAAGTGAGCTCATAAACTTTTCAAGCTTACCATGTACTTTAATCTCAAATTGGAGTGATTCATGTAGACTTACTTTTATTCTGGTCTTGTCATGTCTGTAGTATCTATTCATTGTAAAACCAATGGTACCAGCCAATGTTTTCAAACCCGAACCAGAGGTCAAACCATTTTGACCTTTGGTTCGCGGTTTGAACGGTTTAATCGGTAAAATCGCCAGATTGATCAAATATTATAACTATATGATTTTGCAAAAGATTTCACACGATGCAGGTGGGTTGCATTGGTAGGTTACTAATTTCTTATAAGAGAGATCCGAAGTTCAAGTCTCTGATAACAAACTTTAATATAATTGTGCTTTAAAAGAGAATAAGTATATTGTAAAGCATCAAATTGACAAAAGAACGTTATGTGCAAGTGCAAAAAACTGTTCTACAACAGGGAGGATGAGGATTTGAATCTCTTAAAATCTTTGGGATTTATATGGGTTAAATAAGAGTCTAAGCACCCATTGACCAAAAGATTGCATCATCCTGGTGGCAAAGGATCAACACAAAGGCTTTAAGGTTGCAAGTTCGAGACAAATTTTTCAAGATTTTATGCCCAAGCATTGAATTGTCCGGTCGAATGGTTTGAGCAGTTTTAAACGGTTTACTAGTTTGAGTGGTTTCAAACGGTTTAATTGTTTAAATGGTTTAAAAAGTGTAACCGAATCGTTTGAGTTATCGATATTGGTTCAATTGGTCCGATCGACCAATCCAACCGATCGGTTCAATCTGGTTTTCAAAACCTGGGTACCAGCAATCAAGAAAGACGTTAAGAATGAGAGCATACTTTCATTGGTTGAGGGATTCTAGTGTTGAGTAGGGGTGGCAATTTGCCTCGATTCCCGCGAGGCCCCGTGGGGATCCCCGTCACGGGGACGGGGCGGAGAGGAATATTCCTTTCCGCGGGGCGGGAATGGGGGACATTTTCTCCCCGTGAAATTTTGCGAGGAATTTTTCCCGTCCTGTGCGACCCCGCGGGGATCCCCATCCCCGCGAAAAATGTAAAAAATGTATATAAATTAATTCTATTTTAAATTTAATTTAATTTTTAA